GGAGGAGAAGGAGGAGGCGGAGGTGGGGACGGCGGCCGGGGCGCGCCCCGAGGCCGGGCTCCAGCCGGGCATGCTCTCCTCCCCCTCCGCCCGCCGTTCCCTCCAGGCCCCTTGAAAACACTCTCCCTGACACTTCGGCCCCCGCGCCGCCCCTCGGACCAGATCCCAACTCGGAGGGGACAGTTGCCCGAGCCGCATTCGCCAGGCCCCCGACGGCTCAGTCTCGGCCCGTGCGCCCCGGTCTGGCTCAAGCGGCCGCGTGGCCGTCGCCCGCTCCGCCACGGCCCTGGCCCCACCGCCGCGGGCCCGGTCCTGCGCCCTCCCCCCTCCCTCCGGTCGTCCCTTCGAGCGTCCGGACGGCCAGCCCCGAGGGGATGGGCGAAGGGAGGGGGTCCCGCCTTCCCGGCCGACCGTGGGGTGGGGAGACGGGGACGCCGCGCTCCCTCGCTCTCCCAGCCCTCGAGACCCAGGCGCAGTCGGGGGTGAGGGACGCGGACTTCGGTGTCTGCGGGAAGCCGCCTGAACCCTAGCTCCTACGGCCAGGAACATGGCCAGCACTTCAAGCTATTGGAGAACCCCTCCCCCCCAAAAAACAAAACCCTCTCCCAAATCCAGGGTCTCCTAATTTGAGAACTCCAAAATAAAGTCTGGAGACAACTAAGGGGGAGGGAACGCCCCTAAACTTGGACATCTCCAAATTAAGACCTCCCCTGAATCTGAGATTTCCCCACTCCAATATAATCTGAATTTTCGTTAATCAGGATCATTCTCCTCACCTCTATTTGAGATGAGTTGGTCCCCAGAGACTAAAGGGGTTTGGCTGTTGGGAAGAGGAGGGGACGTGTTCCTGGACGAGGAAGAGGTAATAGGGATCTACTGTGGATCATTGATCTTTTGGGCAATAGGGGTGCTCTCCCGGCTAGATGTCACCCCGAGATTCTAGTTAGTCTCAGAAGGAAGCAAATCAATGGCCTTCAGAAACTTTGCTTCTCAGACTCCTTCGGTAAGGATCTATGGTCCTGCTCCAAGTCCAAGAAGGTCTGCCTTCCAATCACAGCCCTTTGTGAACGCATACTACTTACCTTACTCCTGCAGGTACCGTGTTAAATGCTGGAATCCCAACTGATTGCTCTCAGTAACCCCACTGCACTAGTACAGAGTGAGATACCAGAAAATGTCTGTGTTGGAATGGGAGAATCTCATTTCCAAAAACACTGGGGCTACAGGTGCTTTTCCTACTAACACTGTTATCCCCTCCCCCACCACCATTTCTTACTCTCCTTCCCCCAAAAAACGACTTCTGTTTCACATTCTGCTTCTTTAAAGGGGAGTCACTTTTGTTTAATGAAAACAAACTATATAGTTGTTAGAACAAGAGTTCCAGAATTTACACTTCAGTTTGGGGGTTCCCTTTAATAGATGTACAACATGGGAGCAAATGGATTATCCTGGCTGATCTCAGTTTTCTCCTCAGGAAAACAGGGTGGAGAGAGTGTATTCCATCAGGGGTTATTAGTCTGGGGTTCATAAATAAACCTGAGGCTGTCAATGAAGCTTTTGAAATTACCTGAACTTTTTTGTGAACATTTATGTATTTTTCTAGGATGGAGGTCCATAGCTTTGATCAAACTCTTGAAGGCCTCCATGTCCCAAAATGAACTCCAAAATGGCGGTTAAGAAGCCTCCCTGCTCAGAAAACTTGGACTTCTATGGCGAGCAAGGTTCTAGGACAGGAGAAGGCTAGCTATTGCATAGTGCCAGGAGTCCAGACAGACTCCCTAGCCGATTCCTCCCCTTGTGCCCCTGAGAGATGGTTCCCCCTTCTGGCCACCACTTTCCTTACAGCAACTGCAGAGCCTAAATCATTCACAAAGGCATCCACCCTTCAGGACACACCTGGACCTCTGTTCTTAGCTGAATTAACTAGAAATCTAGGAGTTGGGAGGAAGGTGAAAGGGGGTTGGTAGGTGAGAAGAAGTTGAGACGAATTTGTTTTATGGTTAGAACCAACAGGAAGTCCCTATCCAAAGGGTGCCTGAGATGGGAGGGGGCAGGAGGGAGCCACCGTCTTCCAGTAACCCCTAAAAGGAAGGTGGGGAGCATGTGTGTTTCATCCCTGGAAGCCTTCCTGGGAAGTAAGTGGTGAGGAAGTCCATTTGGTAAGAGCACTTTCTTCCGGGGCTGTGCAGTTATAGACACTACAAACCCTTTATTAGAAACAGGGGCGTGGGGGGGGGGACGGTATGCAAAACATAAAGTCTGGGGGAAATAGTTTACTTTATAAATATATTCAACTTCAGGATTCCTTTAACCAGTGACCTTAGTATAACCTTGAATTTCTGTAGCATTTTATATCCTTCAGGGCAACTTCCCACACAGTATCTCCTTTGTGCCTTGTTCTGAGTTGAATTGTACACTCCCTCCCCCGCCCCCCAAAAATATACGTTCAAATCCTAACTCCCAGTACCTGTAAATTTGACTTTATTCGGAAATAAAACCTTTGCAGATGTAGTCAAGCTAAAATGAGGTCATACTGGATTATGGCAGGCCTTAATCCAATGACTGGTGTTCTTATAAGAGGGAAATTTGGGCATGGGCACACATGCAGAGGAAAATACCATGTGAAGATGGGGGCAGAGGTTGGAGTGATGCATCCACAAGCCAAGGAACACCACGATTGCCGGCACCCACCAGAAGCAAGGAGAGAGGCCTGGAACAGATTCTCCCTCCAAGCCTCCAGAGGAACCAACCCTGCAACATCTGGATTTCTGACTTTTGGTCTCTAGAATTATAAGTAGTAAATTTCTGCTGATTTAAGCAACCCCAGTTTGTAGTAATTTGTTCTGTCAGCCCCAGGAAATGAATATAGTCTCATTGCAATGGGGGATGTATGAAGGACAAAAGATGGGTATCCTCATTTTACAAATCACTCTGTTGCCTAAGAATCTCTCCATAGATTTACCCACCTTTCTTGCTTTCTTGAGAACAGACCTCTCATGCTCTGGATACAGTCTCAGCACCCTCCATACACACACACACACTCACTCACTCACTCACACAGTTTCCTCTGCTCTGGCTCAGGCCTCTCTTCACTTTGTCTGCAAATGGGCTGTGGTGTCCCAATGCTCAGAGGCCCCCTTCCCTCTTCCATGTCCTCAGGAAAGCACCACTGTCTGACACGGGGCCCTCCACATGCTCATAGACTGCTCACTCTTCAGTTGGAGCTTTGCAGTCCAGCTTCCGAACACAGCTTTACACAGAAAACATCTCTCTTCACATTAACCTGCTGCCACCCACCACAAGGCCTCTCCTTTACAACTCCTCCAGTGTCAGCTCTGCTCTGTGTCACCCCACCCAGAGAACATCTGCTTGTTCTCCTTCTAACTCCTCCTCCCCCACAAGCTCCTTTCTCCCCACAGCTGACTCTTCATTCCTCTTCTCTCCCCACATCCCTCCCTCCTAAAGGGAAATCACTTTGAAGCTGGACATATGTGAGTTCAGATCCCAACACTGACACTCACTGACTGTGTATCCCTGGGCTAATTATTAAACTTTCTTGGGCCTATATTTCTGCATCTCTAAACTGGGAATAAAACATCGCCCTTTGGGAGAGTTATTAGGAGTGTCTAATGCCAGGACTTGTACAAAACCCTAGCGCGATGCCTGGTATCTGGCTGGCATGTAGATCCCCTTAATGCAGTGCTTGAGCAGGCAACTTCGGCAGTCAGATGCCTGGTTTAAATACTGGCTTTGTGAATTAGTAGCTGAGTAATGTTGGGGAAACCTCCCTGTGCCTCAGTTTCCTCATGTGTAAAATAGGAATATCAATGATAGTATCAAAGTAGTTAGTGCTCAATCACTGTTCTTACAGCTTCCACTTTCATCTATCTGAGAGGAAGAACTCTCCGCAGCATGTAGCAACAGGTTTTGAGCAGAGGTTTCCAGGTTCCTGAATGAAAGATCATGGACGCCAGTTGAAAGACTTCTGTTTCACTTGTATCCAGAGTGTGATGAGCAGGGGCCCCTTCTACCTTGTTCTCTGTTGTATCCCCCTAGCAGGTACCTAGCATATGTTAGGTACTCGGTGGATATTTTGTAATTAATAAGTGAACATATGAATGAATGAATTAAAGAGTTTTGAGTTGAGGCCCCTTTTCAAAAGTGACATCTGCTATAAGTGGAAAGATGAGGAAGGAGGGCACCTGAAAAAGGATCGGCATCAGAAGCAAAGGGAGAGAGGGTCACAAACTCAGGTGCTCCAAGATGTACAGGGCAGGTTAGAAGCTCAATGCTGGTGCCCAAACTTCACACGCTACAAAGCCCTGAACTTTTCGAGGCTAAGCACCAGGACCTCCACCTTCTCCTGCCTGTCCTGTGTGCAAGCTTGGTACACCAGACCCTGCTGAAGATGCCCCTGATCAGAAATTCATGCGAATGTAGTCTTAGGGCACAGCCCTCTTAAAGTTTCTGCAAAAACAGTCCAGCCAGGAAGAGTTAACCCTTTGATTCAGAGCCCATTCTTCACATTTCAACTTAGATGTTACCTGCTTTAGGAAGCCAGACATGCCTTACTAACCAGTTCTCAGAAGATCTAGATGTCTCCGCTCCTTGATCTCATTACAGATTTTTACCTTCCATTTATTAACAATTATATGAGTGTGTTATTAAAGTTGTCAGTTTACTTCTCTATATCCCTGTAGGAGG